ACAAATCCTCATGCTAGACATCTGTCTGGGCCACCTGGAGGCGTGAAACCAAGCGTCTCGCTCGAGACATCCTCAAGACCTGGGCACGTGAAAACAAGCAATCAACTTGAGAGATCCTCAGAATTCAGGTCCCCAGGAGAGGACAATCTATAACACAAAACAAGCGTCTCGCTCGAGACATCCTCAACAAATTCTGAAAAACAAGCGTTTCGCTCGAGACATCCTCAAATTCTAATTCGCCGGCCCTACGCGACCTTATATTTATCGCAAAATAATTTCGCCGGCCCTACAACCGTCGAAACCGGGGGTAAACCTACTAAAAGAGAACCCTGGGCTCGAGCCCTTTCCGGGAAAAACCGCAGTGCGGAAGAAGAGCACCCATCAGTGAACTCAGAGGAGCGCAGCAAGAAGAGCAGCGACAACGCGTAAGACCTACCTCTGCTGAGCCTCCCAGGAGCCCACGAACGTGGCGACAGCTGCGCAGATCGCAGCCCCCCCAGGGCACCGCGAGGTCTCGAGGTGATCCGCGTGGGGCGTACCTCCGCTGGGCCTCCCAGGAGCCCAAGAAGGTGGCGACAAGTGCGCAGATCGCAGCCCCACAAGGCGCCGCGAAGTCTCGAGGTAATCCGCGTGGAACCCGCCTCCGCTGGGCCTTCCAGGAGCCCACGAAAATGGCGACACCTGCGCAGATCGCAAGCCCCCAAAGGGGCGGCGAGGTCTCGAGGTGATCCGCGTGGGACCCACCTCCGCTGGGCCTCCAAGGAGCCCACAAAAGTGGCGACAATTGCGCAGGTCGCAGCCTCCAAGGCACCGCGAGGTCTCGAGGTGATCCGCGTGGGACCCACCTCCGCTGGGCCTCCCAAGAGCCCACGAAAGTGGCGACATTTGCGCAGATCGCAGCCCCCAGGGCACCGCGAGGTCTCGAGGTGATCCGTGTGGGACCCACCTCCGCTGGGCCTCCCAGGAGCCCACGAAAGTGGCGACACCTGCGCAGATCGCAACTCCCAGGGCACCGCGAGGTCTCGAGGTGATCCGCGTGGGACCCACCTCCGCTGGGCCTCCCAGGAGCCCACGAACATGGCAACGATTGCGCAAATCGCAGCCCACAAAGCACCGCGAGGTCTCGAGGTGATCCGCGTGGGACCCACCTCCGCTGGGCCTCCCAAGAGCCCACGAAAGTGGCGACAACAGCGCAGGTCGCAGCCCCCAGGGCACCGCGAGGTCTCGAGGTGATCCGCGTGGGACCCACCTCCGCTGGGCCTCCCAGGAGCCCACGAAAGAGGCGACAATTGCGCAGATCACAACCCCAGGGCACCGCGAGGTCTCGAGGTGATCCGCGTGGGACCCACCTCCGCTGGGCCTCCCAGGAGCCCACGAAAGTGGCGACAAGTGCGCAGATCGCAACCCCAGGGCACCGCGAGGTCTCGAGGTGATCCGCGTGGGACCCACCTCCGCTGGGCCTCCCAGGAGCCCACGAAAGTGACGACACTTGCGCAGATCGCAACCCCCAGGGCACCGCGAGGTCTCGAGGTGATCCGCGTGGGACCCACCTCCGCTGGGCCTCCCAGAGCCCACGAAAGTGGCGACACTTGCGCAGATCGCAGCCCCCAGGGCACCGCGAGGTCTCGAGGTGATCCGCGTGGGACCCACCTCCGCTGGGCCTCCCAAGAGCCCACGAAAGTGGCGACCCTTGCGCAGATCGCAGCCTCCAAGGCACCGCGAGGTCTCGAGGTGATCCGCGTGGGACCCACCTCCGCTGGGCCTCCCAGGAGCCCACGAAAGTGGCGACAGTTGCGCAGATCGCAGCCCTCAGGGCACCGCGAGGTCTCGAGGTGATACGCGTGGGACCCACCTCCGCTGGGCCTCCCAGGAGCCCACGAAAGTGGCGACAGTTGCGCAGATCGCAGCCCGACGGCACGAGAGAAGAGGAGAGGGGAACACAGGAGACAGGAGAGGAGGAGGGGAGGAGGGGGGAGGGAGGAGACGGAGGACGGGGCGACCACACTGCTCTATTCAAAACGAGTACCCAACCATAGGAGGGTTGGGAATTAAATCATTACCACAGGTCTGGCCAGCTCCTCCTCCTCCTCCCGCTCCTCCTCCTCCTCCTCCTCCTCCTCCTCCTCCTCCTCCTCCTCCTCCTCCTCCTCCTGTCTCTCTTCTCCCTCCTCGGCGGCGGCGCCACGTCGGCGGCCGAACCGCACGGCGGCACGGCGACGCGCCCAGCACCGGCGGGCGGACGCCCGGGCCGCCGCTTGCCTACTGAGGGCGTTCGCGGAGGTCACGAATCACGTGGGCTCGGTGACGTCCCGCTTCGGAGCGGCCCTCGCCGCGGCGTTGGAGGCCCTGCGCCAGCCCGCGCCTGGCGGAAGGGCAGGCGGTGGCGGTGCGGCGCCCGCAGCTGGCGAGCCCTCCACACCCGCGGCGGAGGCTGCAGCAGCCGCCGAGGAGGAGGCGCACGCGATGACGTAGGTGGTCGAGCTCGTGCTTCGCGTTTCTCGTGGCGCTGTTCGCGATCCCGAGGCTGGTCCCACACCGCCTGCCTGGGGGCAGGACGCTTGTCTGGAGCGCAAAGAAGACACCGCTGCCGTGCCACTGGACGGGCCAGCTGCTGGCGCCGAGGGCGCAGACCCAAGGCCCTTTCGGGGGGGGACTGCCCTACCGCGAGTCGCTGCGACGAGCTGGGAGGGCAGCGCGGGGCACGAGCGGCTCCTCGCCGACATGCATCTGGAGGTGCTGCGGGGAGCGCCGCGGGCCGCGGTGGCGACGGGGCCGAGGGTCGACTGGAATGGAATCGCGGGTCCGAGTGGCTTACTTGCTGCAGCGGCCGTGCAGCCAACAATCACGGGGACTGCCAAGACGGGGAGCACGCGTACCAGGCCTCTCGCGGGCGGGCAATGTCTGCAGCCCTGATGCCGCGTCGTGTGGCTTCCTGGCGTTCGTCCTGGCCGGCTCGGCAGTCGGTGTTCAAGAATGTTCGCTCAGACATTTTGCTCGGGCCACTGCTGGAGTTTCTGTGTTGATTGTTGTCGCACTTTATGATGGTGGTTCATGTTGATTGGTCGACGTCATGGGTGGTCGCCTTTCAGAGGTACATCTTCGGTGCCAGCGTGGAGCTGTCCGTTGGGAGGCCGGGTGCAATAATTATGGTGAACGTTTGTCTGATCATGATGTGGGTCTTCACTGATTCGTGAAGTTGTTCATCCTGTGTGGGCGCTTCGTCTTCCTTGTCGTCCTGTGCTTCTTCAAGGTCAGGGGGGGCCTCGCATGCTCGATATAGATATTGCTTGGCAATCGTTCCGAATCCGAGTCTTCCTCCTCCTCCTCCTCCTCCTCCTCCTCCTCCTCCTCCTCCTCCTCATATTTCCCTCTCCCTACTCCTCTTCCTCCTCCTCCTCCTCCTCCTCCTCCTCCTCCTCTTTCTCCTCCTCCTGCTCCTCATTCCCCTTCCCTCCTCCTAATCCGCATCATCCTCTTCCTCTTGCATCTTGCCTGAACTTCGCGCCAGGTTCCCTTGACAGAGAGCGCCTTGGCCTGGCCGAAAGTAAATGTTTAATCACCACAGGTCTGGCCGGCTCCAGATCATCTGGCTGGGGCCACTGCCACACCCTTCTCCTCCTCCTCCTCATCCCCCTCCTCCTCCCCAACCTTCTCCAGGGTGAGAGCCCTGCAGCGAAACGGCGCGCAGACTGCTGCAATGCCGAGTCCGACCGACCGACCTCAACCCCTTCAGTCTTCCTCCACATTCTCCCTCCTCCTTCTTCCCTCTCAGTCCTCCTCCCCCTCATTCTTTATCTCGGATCCTCTTCATGTAATCATCCTCTTTAGGCTGGCCCTGCTTGGCTTCTCCTCCCGCGCCGAGGCTTAAAGCCTTGGGCAAGGGGTGCTGGTCCGGAAGAAGCAGGCCAAGGGCAAAGAGGCACTCGAGGGAGCCAACTGAGCCCACAAGAAGCCTCCAGTACGCCCTCAAGAAAGCAAACGAGGAAGAATCCGCCGACTCCCGCTTGCCGGGGGTGACAAGGCGTGTAAGACATTCAACTATCCCCCTCCTCTTTTCACCCTCCCCTGGGGTCAAAAATGCTATCCTTGGGGGAGGGGGGCGTGCTCGTCAGCGCACACCCGGGGCCTCCAGAGCCCTTCAGAAGCCCAAAGACAGCCCAAAAGGGCCCAGACAGAGCTCCAACACAGTCGAAGAGAGCGTCATGACGGCTCAGGGTAGCCTCACGACGATCCAAGATGGCTTCAAGATGGCCAACGAGCCCCCCAAGACGGTCCCAAAGCGCCTCCAGAGGATCGACCAGAGGGCCACAAGAGGCCAAGGTCGTCCCACTCCCTTTGAAAAACGTACATGTTCAGCACATTCGCATTTTACGTTTTGACAGCGAACGCGACGGCCCAATGGCCACCAAGATCGTCCCAAGATGGCCCACGATGCCTCCAAGAAGGCGCCAAGACGGCCCAAGAGGGCCCCAAGACAGCCTCAGGGGCTCCCCAAGACGGCCCAAGACAGCCCCTGGAGGGCTCCAAGGGAATAGGAACTGACATGTCGAGACTTTCCCACCAAGATGGCCCCTCGAGCCCTCCAGTCCACCGAGGGCCCTTCAAGAGGCCCCAAGATGCCTCTAAGACGCCCCCAAGAAGACCCCCCAGAGGCCCGCACGAGGCCCCAAAAAGCCTCCCACATGCTCCAAAGAGTTCTCCGAGAGGCCCCAGAGAGGCATCCCAGCTTCATCCAGGAGGCTCCTGACCCAAGGTGCAGCTTCCACGATCGTCTCACAGAATGGCGTAATGCCTGTGGGGGTCGGCGGAATGGCGTAAGTCACTGTAATAAGGGGGAAGAAACCGAAAACAAGGAGGGAGTGTTCAAGACCCGCGCCAAACCAGGCACCTAAGTGGAGGAGGCCTTAAACTCAACCTCCACCCCCTGCTGTGCTGGAAGAGTGACAGGACTTGCTGGAGGCAACTGGATATCCTCATTCTCGCCACGAGAAGGGGCGCGCCTGTGCAGTGAGGGGCAAACAAGCACACAAAAAGATCTCAGCCGAAACAGCTTCGATGACGTAGCTTCCGATTCCGCCCCGTCACATGCGCTCAATGAGATCCATGCAACAATCTTGGACCAATCCCCTGTCGACTCATTCTCCCTCGTCAACACCACCTTCCTTCTTTCCTCCTACTCAAACCTCCTCATCCTACTTATCCTGCTCCTCCCTCCACCCCCAAGGGCGAAGGCAGGATGCATCCTTCTCATCCTGCCCCCTCCTTTTCATAATTACACCTCCTTCTCATCCTCCTTCTTGTCTGAATGCCCCATCCTCCTGCCCTCGATCCACATTCATTTGCACTGATCTCTCTCCTTCCCCCACGTGTCCCATCCATCTCCCCCATGGCTTCCTCATTCCTCATCTGCAGGGAGAGGAATTTGTCGTCCCTCCTTTCACCTTGGTCCTCACAACGGTGAGGGCATGTAGCCGATACCTTTACGGCACCAAGGGGAAAACGAGCACCTCTAGAAAACATCGAGGCGAAATGTGGCACGAACCACGCTCTGGGTTGTCCGCTGAACTCGGGCTTCGGTACCGCACCGCGGACCTGCACCGCGGATCGGCGGCGAGCCCAGGGGGAAGTGAGAAGGGACTGGCCTTCTCAAAAGGCTCGGCAGTCCCCTGGTCTTCTGAGAAGTCTTCCAGGCATCTCCCGAAGACGTGAAAAAACGTTTCGGAAGGCCAGAAGGCTTCTCAAAAGATCCGCCGCCTTCTGAGAGGGCTTCCTCCGTCTCACGTTCCGCCCTCGCTCGCCGACGAGTGGCGCTGCCAGAGGTCACGCGATATCGGCAGGCCGAGGCCTCCCGAAGCCGCGGCGCTCGCGACAAAGCATCGGCCCACGGTCCATCGTCGTGACGGCTCACCCTCATGACCACGTTTTTCTGCCCAGCTTTGTCGGGCTGCCTCTGCTCCCCGGCGACGCCCGCCCCCCCCCGAACACACACACACACACAGACACCACAGACACCACAGACAGACACACACACAGACACACACAGACACACAGACACACACACACACACACACAGACACACAGACACACAGACACACAGACATACAGACACATTGACACAGACACAGGCACATACACAAGCGCAGACACTGACACAGACAAAGACAAAACCACTGACACAGACACAGACACAGACGCAAACACTAACACTGACACAAGCACAGACACAGACACAGACACACACGAACACGGACACGGACACAAGCACAACCATACAGCCATACCGACACAGACACAGACAGACACAGACACAGACACAGACACAGGCGCAGACACACACACACACACAGACACGCACACACGCACACACGCACACACGCACACACGAACCCACAAACGCACACACACACACACACACACACACACACACACACACACACGCACACACACACACACTTGGCGGTCGCGGCCTCGCGAGCAGGGTAGAGATGGAGAAAGGTCGGATCCTGTGCGCGCGCGGCCGGCCCTCAGGGGAATCTCCACGAATTCCGTGTTTGCCATCAGCAGCACATGTGCACACACCCAGACACACCTCTGAACAGACACGCGCCTCACCGTATCACACGCAGCGCACTTCAAGGGCCAGCACGGGAGCCAAACATCTGCAGACATCCACTCACTTCCTTTTCCCTCCACCTCGTCTTCCTCTGGATGCTCACTCTTCTCCTGCGGGGGGGTAAGGGAGAGGAGCGCGGTGCATCTGTGCAGCTGCCCTCCTCCTCCTCCTCCTGGGACCTGGGAGCTGTAGGAAATGTGGTATTATCCTCCTCCTCCTCCTCCTCCTCCTCCTCCTCCTCCTCCTCCTCCTCCTCCCCGTGCCAACGCATTCGATACTGGATAAGAGGAAAAGCTCAGCGGACACACGGGGCGCCACTAAGAGTTCATTGAACTCGAAGAGCAGCCCTGAATAGCACCTTGCCCAGTGAGTGGTTGGGCGACATTGGCGTGGGCGTAGAACGAAACGGCCTCACATTCAAGCCAGGCACGCCCCCGCCGACGAGGTCGTGTTACGAAGCCCGTTTCGGTGGCCACTTGATGGCCCCACTGCTTTTGCGAGCACGGCAGCCCTCGACAACGTCGGTCTCGTTTAGGCGCCGTGCTAACCTGGATGCCCACCCCCGTCGATAGACAGGAGTTGGCATCCGCTTGTCGTGCCTTGATGGCTTGGAAATTGTGGCATCCGCCCGTCGTGCCTGAAGCTAAGATGCCCATCCCTGTCGACGGATAGGCACGGGCACTCCGCGCTCGCAAGGAGGGCCTTGCGTGGCACACGAAAACTCTGACCCGCTTCAATGGCCACGTGACTATCATTCGCTGTTGCGGGCGAGGCGGCCTTCGACACTGACGGCCACAGGTTGGCGTCGTGTTGGTTTGGATGCCCACCCCCGTCAATGGACAGACATTGGCATCCCGCTTTCGCGACGAGAATAGGCACCCGAAAACATGGCCCACGGGCTGACCGCGAACAGACCCTAGTGCCATAGCGAACGCTGCAGCCTCCGACACTGAAGGTATCCACGAGGCGGCGTTCCGGCATGGATGCCCACCCCTGTCGATGGACAGGTGTTGGCAGCCACACGTAGTGCCATCCCAGTCGTTGGACAGGCATGGGCATCCCGCCCCCGCAGTAAGGGTGTCGTTCGGCATGCGAGCACTTTGGCCAACTTAAATGGCCGTGGGTCGGCCAGATTGCCGTCGCGGGCACGGCAGCCTTCGCCATCGACACGATATTATCGGTAACGTGTTTGCTTGGTTGCCCGACACCCGCTTCCCGTGCATGAAGCTCGGATGTCCATCCCTATCAGTGGACAGGCATGGGCATCATGCCCTCGCTCGCGGGTTTTGCTAGGCGTCCGAAAGCTTCCCGCGCCACTGCGCACGAGTCCGCGGCGCTGAAGCTGGCGGCCGACCGCGCGGCGGCAGCCCAGGACTGCGCGCCGGCTCCCGGAGAGGCGACGGAAGAAAGGGGGAACGTTGGAGGGCTGAGGGGGGGAGGTAGATATGTGGGAGGAGGAACCGCCGAAGGAATGGAGGGGTTGGGTGGGATGGGGGAGGCAAGGTTAAGCCGGTTAAGCGTTGCAAACAAGGATTAGAAGAGAGGTGCTCGGGCGCAGCGCTCGGCCCATGCTCCAGCTCCAGCACCAGCACCAGCTCGCGACCCGTCCCCAGATCCAACTCCAGGTTCACAAATGGTTCAGTTCCTGCCCCAACTCTAGCCCCGGCCCCAGCCCCTGGCCCGCGCGCCCCCCCCCATTCTCGGCGCCGCCCCCCCGCGCCCCAGCGCTCTAGAGCGGGGGGGGCGGGGGGCGGCGCGACGGCGGGGGGGGGGCGGGGAGAAAGTTCATTAAAGCCGACGCCGCCCGCGCGCGCCCCCCCCCGGGCTGGCCCCGCCGCTCGGCCAGGCAGTGCGGCCGGGAAGTCAAGGGCGGCACTGGGTCCCCGTTGACGAAACCTCCCTGGATCAGGTCAGCCGGCGGCCACGCGCCCGCGCGCTTGCGCGCCGAGCCTGTCGGGCGAGACGCGACGTAGGCCGCCCGGCGGAAGTCTTGTAGGTCGGCGCTCGCGACTGACCAGATCGCGACCTCCCGCGCCCGGCGTCTCGGCCCCCGCGAACCCGCAGAAGAGGCGCATGAAGATGAAAACGTCGCGCGAAGGTAATAGGGTAATTGCTGGCTGGTTGAAATGCCACGTCGAATAGTAGCGCTTCGCGCAAACGCGCTCATCATATGTCACTATATATATATATATAAACAAACGGTAGTCTGCTGACTGAAGCAAATCCGAAATCACGACGGCGAGCGCGCCCGGGCGAGTTGGAATGCGACCTCCAGCGGCGCGCGCATGGGCCGACCCTATAGGATGCGCAGAGCTAGACGGGGCAATGATTGCAACCCCACTGCGCCTCATGGGGCGCACGGAGCCCCGCGGGCCAGCGCGCTCTTCGGCGCCGCGATAAAGACGCGCCAGCTTTGCTCCGCCAACTACACCGCGCACCGCTCATACTTTTGACCAGCGCAACCGAAGTCCCGCGCGCAAGTCTGAAGAACCCCGCTTCACACCGACGCAAGCTACGGGGACCTCTGACCTGAGGCCGCCGCCGGGGAGGCCCAAAGTCACCGAGGCAAGCTGCGGGAAGCTCCAGCTGGCGATCTGAGGAGGCTGCTCAGGGGCTCCAACAGACACAATATGCGGGGACCTCTGGCCGGTGACCCGGAGAGGCCGCCAGGGGGCCCCAGGACGTCGCCGATTGAATCTGCGGGGACTTCCGACCTGTGACCTCAGGAGGTCGCTTGGGGGCCCCCGGCGGTCGCCGACGCAAGCTGCCCGAGCCTCCGGCCAATGACCCCAGGGCGCCGCTGCGGGGCCCCAGCGCGTCACCGATGCAACCTGTGGGGGCCTCCAATCGGTGACCGGGCGAGGACGCGCGGGGCCCCGGAAAGTCGCCGGCGCAAGCTGTGGGAACCTCCAGCAAGTGACCAGAGGAGGCCGCTTGGGGCCCCCCAGAAAGTCGCAGACGCAAGGCGTTGGAACCTCTGGCCGGCGATCTCAGGCGGCCGCTTGGAGCCCCGGGCGGCCGCCGACGGGGCCTCCAGCCGGCGACCTCAGGGCGCCGCTCGGGGCCCCCAGAAGGTCGCCGACGAAAGCTGCGCGCGGGCGGCGCCCTGGCCCCTTTCATCGCAGGCGGGGCGCCTCCTCGGCGCGACCCCCCCGGACCGAGGACTCAAAATCCGCCGGCCCCCGTGGGGGCCAACCGGCTACGAGGCCGAAGCTTTTCCGCAGCTCGAGATTCGCGCGGTTTAGTTTTTGGCCGCTGGCCCCACCCGCAAAATGCCGCTGCGCGCGCGAGGGCCCCGCGCAGAAAACGTTTGATTCATCGCCTCGGATTCGCGTTGCCTGCGTTTCTGGGGAGGGCCCTGCGGCGCGCTAGAAGACGACAGGCCCGCGCCATCGAGGCCGCGCCCCCGCGCGAAGTGCGACGCGCTTGCGCTTCCGAAGCCGGCGCCCATCAGAAAAATCCCATCAGCCCCTTTACGCGTCAGTGGTTTAGCGAGCTCGTTCTT